GCACCTTGTTGACAGTGATGAAGACACCAATGATGATGACGAAAAGAGCAATGAAGGCAAGAAAGAAGATGAAGATAAACATGACTCTACAAGTGAAAAAGAAGAGGAAGAAGATGAAGATAAACATGACTCTACAAGTGAAAAAGAAGAGGAAGAAGATGAAGATAAACATGACTCTACAGATAGGGACAAAGAAGAGGAAGAAGATGAAGACGACATGAAAGAATGCCTATTGTGCGGCTTCCAGCCAAAGACGAAATATGCAATGAAAAAGCATATAAAAAATCACAGGGATGCTGACAAATTCCGCTGCACCCAGTGTACGAAAACTTTCGCAAGGAAGAACAACTTGCAGCGTCACGAAAAAATCCACAGTGGCTCAAAACCCTTTAAGTGTAAGAAGTGTAACAAGAGTTTTTTGCAAAAATCAGATGTAAAAAGGCACATGATAACACACACCCATGTAAAACCATTTAAGTGCTTCGGATGTCGTAGGCGCTTTGGCACCTCAAGCAATTTAAAGCGACATGTGAAGACATGTCGACAAGGATATAAGAAGAAATGATGTCACTTTTTTATTTATGTTGTTGTGATATTCTATTCAAACTGCATGTGTAGGTGTTTTGTTTACAAAAGTCTTCAGAAAGACCAATGTTTTCCCTATTGTTACCTTCTGGTATTGTTAAGAAAAAAACTTGTTCGGTTGTTACTGTAGACGTCAACCTTTACTTCTGTTTCTGTATTGAAACAGCTATGTGCAGAACTCAGTTTAAATGTTTAATTATCCCAGTGATTATTTCTAATGGAAAGTGATAATATGTTCCCTTGGTTACTTTGTTATTAAAATTGCCCATAATGGTGTCAACTCTTTCTAACTGAAATTTGGATTTGAGCTGAACTTATTGATGGGTCCTATATAGTGTTCTTTAGTACAGAACAGAATTTCAAGTCCTTGGCTGAAGATTGTATATTTTGTTTATGCTTTAATATAGTCCATGTCCATTGAATTATATGATTCGACCTAGAGACTCATTTATATAGAAGATCATTTCACTGCCTGCATTCCACAAAAGAAAGAAAAAAGGTTTAGGACTCTCAGCTACATCATGTTCAAAATCAATGGGATGGATGAAAAGGGATTTAGTTTAGTTTAGACTTTTATTCACTAAAGGTAGTAATACATAGAAAGTAAAAAGTCAGTAAAAGATTAGTACAGTACAAAATAGTACAAAAAAATAAGAATTATAAGCAGAAGGAACAGAGTTAATATCACATGAGACAGTCATATCTTAAGAAGTTTAGTCTTTCATTCACTAAAAATATATCACAGCAGTAAAAACCCATAAACATATACACTTTTGAAAATAGTTGTCACCTGATGAAATTCTCCTCAATGATGATGCTCTGCTTGTTTTACATTGAAAGTGTTGTTTTCACTCGAACCGTCTCAATATTGGTTCTGTTTTAACTCACTTTACTTTATAAAATAATTTACTCAA